GGCACATAACAACAACAACAAGAACAAGTGTTCTAAAGTAATTATGAGTTTTAATGTACAAATGATCAAGGGGTGGAGACAGGAACCTGCTTTATGTAAAGTAAAATCTCTTCCTTCATGGCTTGAATTCCTGAAACCCTGCACAGATGGTCTACATATAGCCATACAATTACAACTATTCTGAGGTTGTTATTTGACTCATTTCTGCAGTTCAAATCCACCAGCAGCTCCATGGGAGAAGGATGGGCATTTTCCTCTTGTGTGACTTACTGCCTCTAAAAACCCATTATAGGGTCAGCTATGGGTCATTTCCGACTCCATGGCACACACCACCACCACCACCACATAGATTATTAGGATAAAATGTCATCTTGACCAAATAAAACATAGGGTGTCGTTTTTTTTAAAGTCTCTGAAAAAGAGACAAACTCTAACCTAAGTTTTAAATAAATTATATTATGTTACAGAGGGAGCTCTGGTGGCATAGTGGCAAGAAGCTGTGCTGCAGTCACAAGGGCACACGGTTCGATGCCACCAGCTGCTCCATGGTAGAAGAATGGGCAATCTCCTACAGTGCAATTAACTGCCTTTGAAAACCCACTGGAGGGTCAGCTATGGAGGGTCCACTATGGATCGATTCTGACTCTACGGTACACAACAATAACATTGTGTTATGCATATGTTGAACAACAACAACAAATCAGATTTGCAGAAAAAATATTTAAATAATATCTCATGCATTTGTTTCTCTGGATAGTCAAGTCTTTCTTCAAACCCCCATGTTGTTGTTGTTGTTATGTGACTCATAGCAACTTTGTATACAACAGCTCTGAAGCCTGCCCTGTCCTAAGCAAGTCTCATTGACTCTGACACACCTACCCACATTGTCCTAGTTATTGTAGCAATTCATCTTATCGGGGGTCTTTCTCTCTTATGCTGTCCCTCCATCCTTCTGAGCATAATGTCCTTCTCCAAGGATCAGTCCCTCCTGGCTACATGCCCAAAGTATGTGAAATGGAGCTTCAAAATCCTGGCCTCCAGGGAGAAACTCGGTTTCACCCTCTCCAAGAGAGACCTATTTGTTTTCTTTGCAGTCCATGGTATGTTCAAGACTCTTCTCCAGCACAATTCAAAGGTATTAATTTTCTCCTGTCATCCTTAGTCATTGTCTAGCTCTTTGAGGCATAGCAAGTAACTATGAAGACCATGGCCTGGATCAGGCCCATCTTAGTCTCTAGACTGACACTGTTGCTTTTTCAGTACTCTAGAGAGGTCTCTGACAGCAGATTTACCTAATGCAATTTGCCTTAGATTTCCTGACTGCTGGTGCCAAGAGTGTTCATTTGTGGAGCCAAGCAAGCTGTAACTGTTAACAACTTCAGTCTGTTGTCCACCCATCATGGTACTGCTAATTGGCCCAGTGGTGAGAAGCTTTGTCTTCTTGATGTTGAGCTTCAATCCGTATTGAAGACTACAGTCCTTGACCTTCTGTAGGATTGGAGGAAGACTCATCAATAACCTAAGTTATGTAAATGACACAACCTTACTAGCTGAAACTGAGGAGGACCTGAAGTGCTTGCTGTAGAAAGTCAAGGACTGTAGTCTTCAAAATCCCATAGACAAGGTATATATGACTTTTAAGGAACTGTCAAATTGTTAACCAAACTGGGTAACATTCTTAGTAGGTAGAGTTCAAGTTGCTCATATCCTTACTACCAGTTGGTTTGGTCAATATTTTTAGTTTTAGTCATTTAAGTGCGTAGAGGTATTTCGTGGTGGTTTTAATGACAGATGAAGCTGAGAATCTTGTCATGTATTTTATTGATTACTTATAAATCTTCTAAACCAACCAATCTACCCCTTTCAGTTACTAAGGAAATGAAAGTTTATGCAATGTAAGGACTTTTATAAGGAATGTCTTTAGCTTTACTTTCAAGCCTTATTTTTAAAATAGCCCCAATCTAGAAATAAGCCAAGTAGTAAGTAGAGCAGGGTTTAGAGCTGTTGCAGATAGGGTCAGTATGAGTCTCAAGTGACTTGATGGCACATAACAACAGCAACAACAGTCAGTGATTATTTTAAATATGAATATTATATATAATTCTAGAAATGTAGATATTTTGTAGTAACAGTAGATGAAAAGGTTGCCTGAGAGATGTGGGTAGGAAAGGGAGGGAAGAATTAGAATGTACAGGAAGAAACCTTTGGGGGTGATGGCTCTTGATTGAATTTTAATGAATGTGTATGGAACATTGTACATTCTAAATATATGCCAATTAGAGCTCAATAAACCCAAACCCATTCCCTTCCAGTGATTCCTATCTAGAGTGACTCCACAAGTTATACAGAAAGAATGAAAGCTCACAGTGCTTTCTTGGCTAGAATCTTTATAGAAGTCGACTCTCAGGCCTTCTGGTTCCTAGAGAGAGCAATTCCATTTGCACTATCCACATTTCTTTTTTCATCAGTCTGGCAAAAGAAATAGAAAAGGAAATGTCTTGCTCAGAAAAGGCTGCTGTTGTTGAGGTAAAAAGGAAAAAAAATAAAAGGAAAATGAAGGGACCATATAAAGCAAATAGCAACAAAATGGAAAAACAAATTATTGTACTTAGGCTTGTCCCCCATCTCAAACCACCTCATCCACTCTCACCCTCAAAAGTAGGTGCTTCTACTGGATAGTGCAGTAAAGAATGAGAATCTGTTATGAAGTCTTTGAATCATCTATGTTAACTGGTGTCGAAAACATTACAGTGGCAGTAGAAGGCCTGCATAACTAGAAGCCCCAAAATACAGACTGTCGGCTTATATTAGAAAAAGCCGAGCAAAACTTTGCCAGTAAAATCCCACGCTGGACAGAGAATTTGATTAGAAATTCAAAGCCTGTTCCAATTTCATGGAAAACTTGGAAGATAAAATAATGGCCGAATTCATAGTGAAATAAAGTTCATGCCAAACATAGCAGGCTTATTTTGCACTTTAGGGATTGTACTCATCCGTAGTTGTGCTGATTGTTTTAGAGGAGGCTCTGACGGCAGGGAGTAATACTCTGTGTCAAACCACATTGGAAGGAAACTGCTTTACAGTACAAGCTGGGAATTGTTAATTTCAATTCTTTCAAACCAGTGTGCTCACTTGTTTTAAGCTGCCAACGTCCTCGATTTTAAGCAAATATTTTTGGGCTTTGACTATGGAGTAGTAGAAGAGGGGACTCAAAACCATATCTGATGAGATAGGTCTTTCTTTTTATAATATTGAATATACAGTCCCCTCTGCCCTTCCCTTTACTTCCTCCCCTGGTGTCTCCTCTAACCGCTATTAGGCATTAACTGCCTGCTGGTTCTCAGTTGGAGATCACAGATTGCACCTGCCGGGCAGGCCAGCAAGGCTTGTGCCTTTTTCATTTGCAGCAGTTTCGGCTGCGGGTGCACCGACACGAGGGTCCACCAGGGGTCACTGCTGCCTCGGAGCTATTGTGTCCGCGGGTCCTAGACGCGGCCGGTCTAGCGGAGGGCGTGGGGTTGGGAGCGCGGAACCCCAGGGTCCAACCAGAACTGCGCCTTACGCTTCCAGAGCCGCCACTGGTCACCCGGGGAAACAGACACAGCGAACTGGGCTACAGACCGAGACAGCCCCACGGCTGAAGCACAGCGCCCAGGTCCTCACAAGGACCTACTCTCACCTCGCCACAGGGACTACCTTCGCTCCGCCCTCCGCCCCCAGCTGAGACCCCGCCCAGAAGGGACGCCCCCTCCCCAACCGCCGGGTTCCTGCTCTTCTCCAGGGCATTTTGCTGACGGCCGGGGCCTGCCTAGCAGCACCTGGGCAGCTCGGAATCCGGGCGCCACCCATCGCGCCACCGAGAGAACTTTCCCCAGAGCCTCGGGGGCCTGGCACACCTTGGGTGCACCCCGTTCGCCCAGCGCCCAACCCGGGCACTCGCTTCTCCACCAGCCCACAGATCTTCCCTGCTCATGGGATTTCCTCCTGGACCGAGAGATTCAACTTGGCCACTCACAGTAGTGAGCTCCAGCTGCGCCCCGTGACGAGCTGACCTCCCCTCGCCAGTCTCGGTAAGGAGCACGCTGCCCTTAACAACCTTCCTTTGGCTTCTTGGTTCCAGCAGGTTGGGGGGTGTTGGGAGACAGTGGTGGACTGGGTGAGGACTCTGTCCAGGGAGTAGTGGGTGGGTACCCTTGACACAAAAGAACGAGCCGACCCCTCTGCATTCAGCGGACCGGGCCGGGGGCTGCGGGGCGGGGTCGGAGCTGGAAGTGCGTGTCCTCTGAGGACCGGGAGGCGGGGGAGCCTGGGCCGCGCTCCGGGCGGGCGCTGGAGGAGTGGGCCGAGGCTCTTCCTGCCGCTTCCAAGTCCGGGAGGGGCATCGAGCTTTGGTCCTTCTCTAATTTTGCCTCTTGCCCTCAGTGCCAGGAGACTTTTGTCTTCGCCGGGACAGCAGGAGAGCCTCCACCTGGGGACGAATCGGAGCCGCGGGATGTGCGGGGACGCGCTGCCGCCCTCTGCGAGCAATTGCGCTGGCGCTTGCCCGGCGGCTCCTGGGCGCTGACTGCCGGCGGCTCTCTCCGCGCCTTCCTCGCGCACCCGGGAGGCTCTCCGCGCGCCCCTTTCCGCGCCGGGGCGCCTCCTTTCACCCTCACCGCTGCGCCGACTACAAATTAATGCCTCGCGCTTGAGGACAGGGGGTGGCTCGGCGCCTCGCTCTCGGCTTTCTCGCCTGCCTGGAGACGGCCGCGGCAGACATGGGCTGCTTCTGCGCTGTTCCGGAAGAATTTTACTGCGAAGTTTTGCTCCTGGATGAATCCAAGTTAACCCTCACCACCCAGCAGCAGGGCATCAAGGTAGGCGGTGGCCGGGGGCACGTGCTGGGGTGGCCGATCCCGGGGGTCCGCGGCTTTGTCTGAGCGCTGTCACCGGACAGGGCTGGCGAGGAGTCTCCAGTCTCTGCAGTGACGAGAGAGGTGGCAGCCCGCAGCGCTCCGAGTGAGTGGACGTGTCACAGCGGGTTAAGTTTGAGTTCTTTCATAAAGGAAAGTGAGTTTGACATTTCAAAGGTTTCCGTAAGCACCGGCTCTCCGTTGCAAGCCCCACGGAAACCTAGACTCTTGCCAACATTTGTTTCCTCCAAAGGCATTTAGCCCCCTCCTCCAACCTGCATTTCCCAAAGAGATGTAAAACCGTATATATATATATTTACCCCACCGCAGTGTTGAAGGCAAGATTTGCCTCAGTTTGAAAGGGTGTGTGTGTGTGTGTGTGTGTGTGTGCGCGCGCGCGTGCGTGTGCGCGCGCGCGCGCTCGCGCTCTGCCTCCTCTTGATGGGGGAGCCTTGGAGAAGTAAACTAGTTGACTCTCTGAGACAAATAAATACAATATTTATTGCATTGTTGTGATTTGTATTGCATGGCTTTGTAGTGGGGTAATGCTACTTTCGGTTGAAAGGAATTTCCTTTTCTGTAAGGAACTTGCTTTTATCAACACCTTAAGTAAACCTCTCTCAGGGTGACTCATTAATAACCTTGCTCCTTTTTGTAGGTCATTAAGGTGCAATTACTACTATTAACCTAGAGAAACCAAACAAAGGCTGTGGGAGCTTGCGGAGATCCACTTCCTTAATTTTGATAAGTGCGCACCTTAACAGTTGACAACCTGACTGAAGCGCTTGCGCTCTCCTTCTCCTCTGGCAACAGAGTAACTACGTTTTGTTTTCCTTGCGCCTTCAGTTTTAAATCACCGAGGCACTTTAGATAATGAAGCAGCTGAGTCTGAAAGGAAACCGCTCCCCTTTAATAGAGGTGACCGACTGAGAAATCAAGTTCAGGCTGCCAAGTGTCCTCTCCTTGTCCTGACATCTTTGAAGTTAAACCAGTGGAGTAGGCCGTGGGTATTTCCCTGTGTGAATCCAGAAAGAAATGCCATTTTCACTTTTCTCTATGCACACGAAAGCCACTGTTTCTGGGGAAATGCTTTAAGTTTGACGTTGCCATTGTTGGTGTACACGATCCTTATTTCAGAGCAGTAAGGTTCTTTGGGGAAAGTGGTAGAGGAGGAGGGGGGATAGATATGATAAAATATTACAAAAATTAAAACATGACAAAAATTATAGCCACAAGATTAATACTTTAGGAAAATTGTTTTGACTAGTGTTTCCTCAATTATAGTAAGCATCTCATTTGCTGTTTCTTTTCAAGGCCAAAACTCACAAATTCTTTGTAGAAGGTATTTATCTTAGATATACTCTGGGCTTTTGTGTGTATATTCCAGAAGAAGACTTCTCTCCAAAAGATGAAAATCAGGAAAACCGCTTACTTTAAAGATGATTTACCAGTGGACACTATGAATAAAAAACAGGCAAAGATCACAAAACACCCCCCCTATAATACACAGATTTTTTTTTTTTTGTTTAGAAGCAGAGATGTTAGCTGGGAGAACATAACTGATGATCTGATACTAAAACAACAAAGAAACCTTTCTGAAGTGCAAAGTCTGAAGTCATCTGGAGGTTGAGCTTCCTATTTAATCATGAAAGCTGTGCCCCTGTCAGCTGTGGAGTGTGTACATTATTCTGTCAAGAGAGCAGCCAAGACTTGGGATCAAATGGAATAATTTTGCAGAGAATCATGAATCAAAAAATCCCAATCCGTAATTACTTTTTAATACTCAGTGGTGCTTATCTTGTTTTACAAATAGGTTGAGAATTAGTGATTTGAAGGCAATAGCAAGTTTAAATACTGTTATTTTGGATCTGTGCCATATAGCTAAACAATAATTTAAGCAGGCTTTTGTTGGAAGTAATCATTTCACAACTGGCTTGGCCTCTTTCAGTGTCACAAAAGCATGCCACAGTTATTTTGATGGCCATATGTGTAAAACAGATGTTGTCTGTTGAAGTTAACCATATTATCTATAACTACAATACTGCCATCAAATTCATGTGGTAAGCACCTATTTATTTTGGTATGTACTAAATTAAGCACAAATGTTTGTTTGTGTTACATATTGTATGAAAAAGTATCTTACACATAGTCTTAATACATTTATTTAATACAGACTTGGCATTTTCTTTAACTATTCCCTATCCCCACCTGCCTGTATGGGGGGGGATAGGTATAATTCATGTAGATTGCATTAATTAAATGAACTCCTACTTATGTTTGTAAATGAAATAAACAATTATTTCAAAGTTAAAAGTCATGTTTCTTCCTTGGGATAGTACATCTGAGAATTTTGATTATTATTAATTAAAATCAATGTTGAGTTTGAGATTCATACCCTGCTTTTCCCCATGAAACTAAAATAAGAAAAATATCTATTTCTTTTTCCTCCAAAATTGTTTTATAAAATCTGTTTTGAGAAGATCCATTCTTACTTTCTTGTTTGTGGGATAAAACAGTTAATTTTACCTTAAAGTTATTTCCATATATCACTTAGTGGGAGATTTTACAAATTTTTAAATAATTACAAGTGTGAGAGAATGGGAAAACTGGCTTTTCATATGTACTAATTTTTAAAGAAAGACAAATAATAAGATGTTCTTTGTAAGTAAAGATCTTTAGAAACTCTTTGAGTTTGTTTAAGCACTGATTCATAAATTGAAAATTTAGTTACATGGTGATTTTCTGCAGCTTAGATAAAGTTTTTCCATTGATTTAAAAAATTCATTATGTAGGAAGACCCTTTATGAGATGGATTGATTCAGTGACTGGGATAATGTGGGTAGGTGTGTCAGAGACAGTGAGATTGGCACAGGATAGAGCAGGATTTAGGGCTGTTGTACATAGGGTCACTATGAGTCACAGGTGACTCAATGGCATATAACAACAACAACATGTATTCCCACAGAAGTCTTTCAGCCTTAGGACAGTAGTTATCTACCTCATATGTTAACGTTGTTGTTAGATGTCGAGTCATAGACGACTCATAGTGACCCTATGAATGAAAGGCCTGAGCACTGTTCATACATAGAGTTTCCAGGGGCAAGCCTTTCAGAAGTGGATGCTGCTCCTGCTTCCAGGCTTGTTTTAGTCAGGAAGCTCCAGCAAACACTGTCCACCATGGGTACCCATTACCACGTTTGGCACATCAGTGTCCCAGTGTTCAGCATCACAGCAACCACGAGTTAACTCTGTACAGTAACCACGAGTTATCTCTGTACAGCAACGCACAGATCAGTGCTATACCACATAGAAGAATGTTTGACAGGAAAACAATTTGAACCCGGCCTAAGGGCCACAGATTAAAATCACCCACCTTTGGCTTGGTAGCATAACTTTCTTTCCACTAATGTGTCTTTAAAGTGAGAAAAAAATGCAATAGCTTTTCCTTTTGTGTTCATATATGTCAATATTAACTATCAATTACTCAGTGATTTAAAAGTGTCACAGAGGTTAATTTCACCTTGACAAACTTGAAGACTTTTTGAGTCCTTTGCAAGGTTTAAAAATCCTTTTATTTTACATAAACTGAAAGTTATTACTCTTTGTTCTCTACTGTTACCTTGTTGTTTATTCAAGTAGAAATTTCTACTGTGGTAGGTCTTTTAGTTTGACTGCTGTTAGGGAGCTTTGTGGCTTAGTGGATAAGTGCTTTAGCTTCCAACACAAAGGTACCTGATGGTTAAACAACAGCAACAAGTTTGTTCAGGGAAACTTTTGTTATACCCTGGGTGTTATGTGTTGTTAGATCATGGTTTGTTAATGTGCTGGGAGAGATCGGGATCTTTTCTTTTTGTTGTTGTTACTCTGTACCATCAAGTCAGAACCAAATCGTAGCTCACCTAGCAGATTTTCAGAAGTTGTACATCAGATGAGAGGAGATCACTTATCTTCTCCTTGCATTAGGAATCAACATTTAAATTTGAAATGATTATTGTAAGTTGTTTAATATACAAAAGCAGTTCAATCACTGGATGATTATAAATCTAGTTCTCAAGATGCCTATTACAAGTATAAAGCCAATTGATGTTGTTAGTTGATGTCAAGTCAAATATGACTCACAGAGTCATTATGAACAGTGGATCTGGAGCTTGCCCTTTCCTGTGCCATCTTCATCCTCTGTGATATACTCGAACCCATTGTTAGACTCACTGTGTCAATCCATTTTGATGAAGATCTTTCTCTCTTTTGCTTATTCTCCATTTTCCCAAGCATGATGTCTTTCCAAGGACTAGCCTCTCCTAAAAATATGCCCCAAATATGTAAAAGCAGTCTCACATTCCTTGCCTCTAAGGAACACTCTGGTTGCAATTTTTCCAAGACACATTTGTTTACTCTTTGGGCAGTCCGTGGGATGCTTAGTGCTCTTTCCCAGCACCACAGCTAAAAGGTAGCAATTCTTCTACCATCCTTATTCATATTGTCCAACTTTCAGATACTAAGGAAGCAATTCATCATGGCTTCAGTCAGGTGCACTTTAGTCTTTAAACTGACATCATTGCTCCTTAGTACGTTGGAGAAATTCTTGACAGCCGATTTTCCCAATACAGTATATCTTTTGCTTTTCTGGCTTCTCTTACCAAGAGTGTTGATTGTGGCTCCAAACATGATGAAATAATTGACAACTTCAGTTTCTTCTCCATCTCAGATGATGTGCCCTACTGGTTTGTTGTTAGGTCCCTTGACTTGAGTATGACTCAGAGTGACCTGTTTGCCTAGTGATGAGGATTTGTGTTTTCTTGATGTTGAGATGTAATTCATGCAGAAGGCTATAGTCTTTGATCATTGACAGTGTTTCAAGTCCTCACTTTCAGCAAGCAAGATTGTATCATCTGCATAATGCAGGGTGTTGATGAGGCTTCCTCTAATCCTGACACCACATTCTCTTTCCTCAAGTTCAGCTTCTT